AGACCTTGGATCCTGCTTTACCAATCATTAGCATAATTTGTCAAATAATCCAACAGACAGCTTTTACTTTCTTTGGAAACTAGGAGCTATCGTTCAGTAATAGTATTGCCACCAGAATGGCTGCATCCTACTGCACCAACTTTTAGCCCAATTTGTCAAATAATACAACAGACAGTATATATACTTTCTTCAAATTCTAGGGTCTGTTGGCCAGTACTCCCATCAGATTCAATGTATTAATGATAGCAAGATGTTTGTCAAGATTGCTAAATATGTGATTTTTGTGGTGATAAATTGCTTCACATTCCATGATCACTTGAACCATGAGTAGGCTTATTTGTCTGCATGTCAGTGGGATAATTATTGGTTCCAAGCAGTCTTTCCATTGTGAATTATGCCTGACAATATCTGCAAACATACAGTTTTGAGCAGTGGCTGAGATTGTTGATCTCAAATCAAAGCTGGCCCATGCTTTCCCTTGATAGAGACAGCGTCTACTGTTCTCAAGATCAAAAAGAGACTGTTGTGAAAGCTGTCTACACACACACCAACCCAATTGAATGAGATAAGTCAAAATGTATCATTAGGAGAAGAGAAAAAAGATGGGTAATAGTGGCAGCTAATTAAATATATTTCCTACTTCATAAGACGGTCTTGATAAATCAACAAAAGTGCAGTCCTTAATTAAATTAAACCCCCCACCGCAACAAAAAAAAGAAGAAGAAAAAAAGAAGACAATGTTCCCAAAATGTTTGAAGTGAAGAGGTGAGGGTATAAAGAGTACAAGTCATGATGAAGCTCAGAAGATTCTGCCTGATGGCCTTCATAGCACAAACGGAGGAATAGGTGCGGGCTCATGGCCAAGGTTGGCAACGAGAGAAAGATAGCGAAGAGAATTTCGAATGGGCACAGGAGCAGGACTGGATGATATATAATATATTCAAGCGAGCAAAACAAGGAGTACCGGGGGAGATGATCCGAGTCGGGGGAAAAGGAGTAGGGTCAATCAAGGACTACCAAGTGTCGTTTTGAGCTTGAGATTTTGGAGGTGGAGGCAGGACTGCTTGTTGGTGAATCGGGGGCTGTTTTGGCGGTTTTCGAGGTGTCGGTCGGGACGGCTGTGGTGGTGGCGTTTGCTCCGAAGGTCGGCACATGAGTAGCCCCATTTGCCCATTTCACTACAAACAATCAAGCAGTGATTAATCGGGGCTGGCTCGGTGTGATTATGGAGGTGAGGATTCGACTTACGTGGCGCTGGGGCTGTCACAGGCTCGGATTTTTTCGTCACAATCTTGGCAATCAGGGCGCCTATGATCACCAGAGCAATGACTGCAACAATCCAAGTAATCGTTTTAAACTTTGAGCCAGCCTGAGATTGTTTTTTGAGCCAATTACTGTAATGTGCAAGGTTTACTAGGTTAGGATAGCATATTCGGTTTCCGTTGAGAAGCGACTAACCTGGATTCTTGCTGCTTGGCTCGGTCCAAATCTTTCCATTGGGCACCGGGACGATAGAAATCTTCTCTTGTCGAAGGCTTCTCTGATTCGCCGTGAATCAATCCGACGGATGTGTGAGGCTCAAAGGTATGTGAGGTGGGTGAGGTCGGCTCGAGGAAGGCCGCTTTGGGGGGAGGCAGCTTGGGATCAAGAGGAGAAATGAATGGATTTTCGGCATCGTGGGAGGACGGGGCTTGAGGTGCATAACGTGATGTAGGAGACAAGCGATCCATCGGGGGAAGAGGACGCTCTGAAGGGGCAATGTTAGGCCGTTGTGGCCCCGGTTGGCGGTGAGCAGGTGCAACAGAGGACATGAAGTTTTGAGCGGGTGCGCCATCGCGACCATAAGCCCCTGCGTTGTACTCGGTCGAGCGACCGGGGAATTGATGTGTTGAGTTCATCTTGTCAGGAAGATTGATATGAAAAGGTATTGTTCGAGGTAACAGATGCTGAAGGCACTGTTGGAAAGTTGATGAAAGAAATTATTAAAAAGATTGGCAATATTGCTAGAGGATGATCGCGAGTGTAGAGAGTTGAAGTCAGTCAGTCAATGATGAGCTCAAGAGAGGGATGATGAACGAAGGGCAACCCACAGAAGGAGCGACAGTGGTGTTATAAATAATTGGAAGATGGTGTAGTTACGGGGTCGTATGACTACAATGCGCTAATTGGAAGTTATAAATGTTTTTTTCGGGCCAGCAAGCCTACTGGCGAAAAAAGGATGGCCTGTAAACGAGGGGGGACTGGGAAGTTGTTGAGGAGGGCTGGAAGAAGGAGGCGCAGAGAATAGAAACCCTGTTGGAATTAACTGAAGGGGGAGAAATGGCTGGAAGAGTGGAAGTATGTCATACCGATACAGCCAGAAGTACATAAAAAGGGCGTGTGTTCAGTTATGGCAAGAGGGTCCAGGCGCAGTCTGCCTGACAGAGCCAGGAGGAGAGGAAGCTCTCCAAGTTCGTTCGTTTGTTGGTTGTGATCAAGCGCAGATCTTGCAAGTTTTTCTAGTGAAATGCAATGTCGGAAGCAATACCTGCCAAGGGTGTGCATCTATAGAATTCGAATACTGACATGTTGAATGAAGAATGAATGTATGCCCGAGGGATCAAATTGGATGCCTATGAAGGACTGGGAGGTGACAAGTTCTCCTGGTTTTCGGAGACTACCGATGCATCAGGATGCAACATCAGAAACTCGTCATATTGAGCTCGCCGGCGTCTTGTTGAGACACCGTTGAGTCGGCGACGGTGCGTCTCAGCCAGCCCGGAGGGGTGCGATACCTTCACCCGCATCAAGTCAGCAACCGCCAGGGATTACGGGCAAGCCAAATCAGCACTCGCATCTCCAGAAGGGATGTAGACCGAATATGTAAACTGGCATGGACCAGCTTGGACTGAAGTGGCCAACTCATCACGCCCGGTTAGGATTATAATCCCACCGCAAGCCATTTCCGCGTGCCTTGGGCAGATTGACGAAGGCCGATTCCACCAATGCGCAACCCTCGCAGCTAACTATTACGCAAAAGCAGATACAGGTGAGATGAGCTTGTTGAAGCGCTCAGGTTTTTGCTCTGACCAATCTCATGATAATTGTGTATGTTGACCATTCGACAGCTTGACGTTCCGCAAGACGACGCGACCAAAAGAGCTTGTCCCGGCTGTTAAACCGTCCAACAACCACCGAGAAAGGGTACTGGGTCATTTTATCCACTTGACCCCCCCACCAAACCGAGTTCCCTTTGCACAGCTATAGTCACACATTCAGCTGGGGGAATACTGGCGGCGCAACCCTCCGGAATTTGGGAATGCATTAATCAATATTAATAGCAAAACCGAGAGGCCACACAGGGGAAAGGTCAATTAAAAAACTTTACCTTGAGGCTTGACCGCTGTTTATAACCGCGGTGGGATTGTCGGGTTTAAGCCTGGTGCTCGCGTCGCGTGGAAGGAGCCATACCATGATACCGGCCTGGTAGGGCCAGTAACTCAGCAAGGTTCACATTTAACCCGAGTTACTATCCGGATTGTTCGGCCTTGCCCGACTCCCAGGATGGATGATGACCTCACGTCGGAGTCGATCAGGGCGTGCCGGAGAAACGAGTCATGACGATTAAGCCTATGAGCCCCGAGGTTCAGTTCCTTGCGTACAAATCTCCTGTTTGGCCGGGAAGAACTTCCCGGGACCCTCCTGAGGAGGCTGTAGACTACAATAGCAGTTTTCCGACAAGTTGATGTTTTCTTTTTGTGCAAAAAGATCAGCTTGATCGTGTTTGTTATCAATACTTCTTCCATCCACAACGAAATTAAAATTGAAGAAGGTCACCAGGTTCGATTGCTTGTTATTTCATGATGAAAGTGCCAATCTAGCAATCTATATGCGATAAGGTTACACACCTTGATGATGTGCATTGCCAAGATAGATGGCGGCTGACCGATGTGCGTGATAAAAAAAAAAA